GGGAGATTCAGATGTTTTCAAAAAAAGGAAAGAAAATAAAGAGGAATTAAAAATGGATATTTTAATTATGTATGAAAAACAAAAGGCAAACTAGTACTTTTTTAATATTCCAACTATAATGATTACCATCTTTGCAGGGACTTTGGAACTATAACTGTAATCAATTACTTTTGTGAAGTAATTTTAAAATCCCTGCTTGAATGTGTGAACTAACAGCCCAAGCATCATAAATAACACAGCAACTGTGGTTTCTGCTTCAGTTATATTAGTGCCAACATTCTCCCCATAATCAGAAATATCTGACTTTCAGCTTGCTATCTCTATTTAGTCTGTTATAAGAAATGGTACATATATGTATGCTTAACATCCATAATGTTCATTTATTACAAAGTTTGTGAATCAGTGGGCCATATAAAGATGTATAACTATAGAAAATATTTTAATGTAATCTCACATCTTCTCCAATTAAACATTTTCCCAAAGGGTCAGTTTATCAGTTCATCCATAAATTATAAATTATTATAAGGTGCAGAGTCACCAAATGGTGAATACTGGGAATATTATTTCAGGACTATCCCAGGCCTGGAATTTTCTGGGCCTAAACATGAGACCTTAGTGATGCTATTAGTGTTATACATTAAATATCAATCACAGTTGCTCACATATTGTCACATATACACACAGAGATTGAGAATAGTATTTCCCTGTTTAGAATTTAAGATGATATGGCAAGAGATGACCCATGAAAACTGGAGTGGCAGGGCAAGACACTCATAGTTGGAAGAGATATGGCACCCCTAATTGGGAAAGATCAAAAGCTTCCAAAATACTCATTAAATATATGGGATGGAGGGCTTTTTAACCTTTGTTATTTAGCTGCTATAAATATAGAAGACAATCCATTACTGGAAAACCCTTCTGTATTTCCACTATCAATTACTTATAATAAAAACAAAACAAAACCAGAAGTGTCTTTATAATTTCTATGGCTCATATATGTATGAATGGAGAAGATGTTCAGAGCTCCTTTAAATGACCTTATGCATAAGAAAAAAGATGGTACAAACCTTTAAAAATGTGGAACAAGAAAATGACTATAGGTATATTGCTTTCATAATGTTGGACCATAACTCAACAGACTGAGTCAGACACAGGCTCAGGTGGTAGATTGCTTCTTGGTTGGATGGTCATTCCTGGTTATTGGGAGCCAACAAGGTGCTGACTCCAGTCCTGACAGGAGTCTAGCACCGGGGATCCCATACAACTTGAAGCAGCTACAGAAGAGTGGATTCACCGTCTCTGAAGCAATAGATTCACCACTCACTGCTGATTTTAATGGATTGGCCTACCCTAAAAGGTTAGTGTGTAAAAGGTTGGTGTAATAAGCAGAAGCCAGGCCCAGCTTGCTGAAGCTAAGCAGAGCTGAGGGGTGCAGTAATCAGGCAGTCTCTAAGGCAGGAGTGCAGTTTGATTGGCTGATAGAACTGGAGGGAAAAGCTCAGTAGCTGGAGGTGGGCAGAGCCTGAGGCAAAGGGAAGAAGAAAGCAGCCCTTTTAAGTGGAGTTAGGAGATTGGTGGGGAAGAAGAAGGACCAGAAGTTTTGAAGGGAGAAAGGAAGGAGGAAGGAAACGAATTGGGAACTGTTTTGTTATATGAAAGAAAGCTCTTTGAGAAATAATAATGAATAGGCCTCTATAGTGTTTAGAGTGCTGATGGAAGAAAGGGAGATTTCAAAAGATTTTAAAAGATTCCTGTTTGAATTTCTATGTGTGGAACTGTGTTTTAGAGAAACCCAAGATATAAATACCATTCTCTGTAGCTAGAAAAGTCTGACAAGTTATCTGCAACCATTATGCTTATTGGCTGTTCAAAATAAACAATTTCCTGTTTTATTCCAATTGAAATCTCCGTGTGGCTTTTAAACATTTCAATAAAGGAGGTGGCATGTAAAAATAATTAATTGGTGGCAGCAAAAGTAATCTTCAATAAATAATTGGAGGTAGCAAAGGCAAAATATGCAGTGGTGGCTTCCCGCTGTCTGGCTCTCTGTGAGCAAGGGCGTGCATGTGCTCTGATTTCCCTCATGGCCTCACCTTGGGCCAAGCCTTGTTGTTTGCCTTCTGACCTCCATCTTGTGTGTGTAGTGTGCCTGAGACAGATTTTGCTGATTGTCCCTCCATTGTTTGGTATGATCGGTGAGGTGATTTGTTACAATTAGTGGCAGTCTGCTATAATTGGTGGCACCTGGTAGGAATATGGCATATGGGACCTTTTTATTACATTTGCAAAAGATAACCTGTATATATTCATCCAGCTCAACAAATATCTCCATGGAAAGATAAAATAGGGTGATTGACACTGTATCATTATGTTAAAGGCCTCTGCATGAGTTAGCATTGTTGCCCTCAAAAGTTGTGCTTTCTGCTGTTTTATGATGTAGACTACCAAAAAGACAAATAAATTGGTCCAAAAACAAACCAGGCCTGAACTCTCTCTAGAAGCCAAGATGATTAAACTGAGACTATCATACTTTAGACATATCATGAGAAGACATGACTCTCTACAAAATACAATAATGCTTGTAAAGCAGAAGGCAGTAGCAAAAGAGAAGGGCCATATTCTAGATGCATACATTCAGTAGTGGAAGCCACAACTGCCTTGAGTCAAGTCCTCAGCAGGACTGTTAATGGCAGGGTGACTTGGGAGATCCTTCATTCATAGGGTTGCCAAAAGTCAAAGCTGTCTTGAAAGCAGTTAACAACAAATGTTCAGAAAATATTCTGAAAAATAAAGGTGTTTTGAGTTGGAAAACATGCTGTCCAGTGTAGCTGAGTGTTGGGATTGCTCCTTAAATAGATTGGTCATCCATTACAAAAAACAAAATTCTGCCCCCTCCCCCCCACACACACACATACAAGAATGCTGTTTTTCAAATAAAGTGATAGACAAATTTATCCTTTCATTGCAAGATAAAGGGAACCATAACTCCTGACCTTTTGCTATACTAACTGGGACTGATGGCACTTGCAGTCTGAAACATCTGGATGATGCCAAGTTGTCTTCTTTTTTAAAAGATTATTTACATTTTAAGTAAATAAATGTTTCTCAGGAAATGTTCGTGTGTAGGAGTTCTCTCATGGCTGAATTCTCTGGTGGTTTGCATTGGGGCTCGAAACATTCCCAGTTACAGATATTTGGTTTCTAGAATCAGATGAGAAGAGTCTACATGGGACGTGTGTTTGTCTGACCTAGAAGTTATCCGAAGGCCCCCTGCAAACAACACATATATCTATGCCAGAAATTACTTTCCCATTTCCCCCTGGCAATTATTTTTAATAAAATCTTAAAATATTGCTCACAAATGTTTTCCCCTCTGAGTTGTAACATCAGTGGTCTTTGCATAGAAGAATACTGTGTACCGTAACACAGAAGAACACAATGTATTTGTACTGGGAAACACTAACCACAGTTACACTTGACAGATCGGTAGCCAAGTCTTAGATGTTTTATCTTCAGTGTCCCAGATACAGCTATGTAAGTCCTGAACCTGAAATACTAGAAAATTACTCCAAACCTGGAACTGGTGTAAAACACAGCTGGGAAATTTTGCCCATCCAAATGTTGTTGGGCAGCACTTCCCATCATCTCTAGCCAATATAACCAATGGCAAATGATGCGAGAGATATGAGAGTTGGTCCATTAAAATCTGGAGAACCATAAATTGGCTACTTGTTGGTAGAGTCTATATCCTGCGGACAGGAAAATGGTTGCAGTGAGGCTCACTCTAGAGAAAGCATACATAAACTTAACAAGTGTTAAGTGAGAAAGCAAGCGTAAACATCTACACTGATGGAAAATCATATCTAAATTGCAAAGCATTACATTAATTCTATTCACTTGAGATTGGGTCTTGCCTCCTCTATCCTTGGCATCAACCCATTCCAAAAGTCCCGCCTGCAATGCACCTGTGATGCTTCCCAAATTGAAAGTCAGCACTCAGGTGGAAAAAGCACCCCACCCCAATTAGACAATTCTTATGCTATGATACATATGGGAAGGGCTGTTGTCCAGTCCCAGAATCTCTGTTCTGCCTACACAATATCCCAGGCTCTGCTTTTGGCACCTCTAGTGAGCCCCTGCCAGACAGAGTGGGCAGTACTGAGCTAAATCAAACACTAATCTGTGCCATTGTATGACAGCTATTCCTATTACTGCATTTGCATATATGTACAGTGTATGTTCAACAAACTGTGTGTTAACATGTACCTTCATGTGCATGACAAGGTTGACCCTGAGACCTTTTTTTTTCTGCTACCCAGAAGATATTAATGGGATACTGACTCTAAATAAAAAAAGAATTTTATTTATTGATAGATGTGGTGCTGAGACAGCTCACAAATAATTCTAGAGAATATTAATTTTTTGCAACGTATCTCCAAGAACACTGTCATATAGTCAATTTTAAAATATATCTAATGTGGATATCATTTCTTTTTTTTCTTTTCTTCCACCTACATACACAGATACATGGAGAAAAGAGGAATTCATTTTTTTCCTGAGTGAAAGAAGTTCATCCGACCTATAATATGATTAAAGCTCCCTTCATTCATAATCAGTCTCTCTGTGAATTTTGATTTGACTTTAAAATTAGCAATCAAAATTGGTGATTTGTTATTATAGAATTCTTGAAGAGTTTTTCTTCTTATTCAAAAAATATCTTAACTTTATCTTCTGAATATGTGAGAACTGATATGTTCCACAGAATCATTTCAAACTATTTAGGCACTTACAACGTTACCACTTACTAAACTGCAGAGAGAAGAGGAATAGCATTGGCAGCACTGAGAGAGTAGGTTCATTCCCCCCCCCCCCCAAAGGATGTATTGTCTCACTGACTTGGACAAGAATGTTTGTACGCTAAAATGGACAAGCAATTCTTTTGGCAAATACCAAGTAGAAAGCTAAAGGTTGCATATCCCTTATTCAGAATTACAAAATACTCTGAAATACAAAATTAGCCATGTGGGTGGCTAAGATATGACATACTTGCTTTCTATTGATTCAGTGTACACAGACCTTGTCTCATATACAAAACTATTAAAATATTGCATAAAATTACCTTTAGGCTATGTGTAACAGGTATATATGAAACAGAAACACATGGTGTGTTTAGATTTGGGTCCCATCTCCAAGTTATCTCATCATATACATGTATATAAAGTCAAATATTCCAAAACCTGAAATACAAAACACTTCTTGTTCCCAACATTTTGGATAAGAGATAATCAACCTGTATATGGGATCTGTATATAATATTGTATATGGGATACTGAGGAATCCATACATTTATGTATAGAGCCAGGACATGCCTCAACAAAAGGGCAAATGTGTTCCTGCATGTCAGAGGATTGGACTGATAGTCCTTGTGATCTCTTCCAACTCTATTATTCTATTATGTGCAGAGACAATTATGTTTTCTGTCATCCATCACAGGCTTCATTTTTCTCTCTAAATGAAACTCTAATCCACATAGTAACTGGGGAGCAGGCATCATTTTCCTTCTAGCAACAATACATTCTTGTGAGCTTTCTAATGCAAAGAAATTTGTGGTAGTTTGGCTTTGAATGACACATTAAAACCCATTAGCTTTTATTGGCATGGAGGTGGAGGCAGGGGCGGGCAGGAGATAAAACTGTTGGAATGGATTTGTTAAAATAGATCACCTCAGCTGCTCATATTTTTGGACTCCTGGGACACAGCTATGGAAGCTATCATGGTGAGCACCTGCACTTCAAAATTTACCACTATGTCACAGAAACCATAACTGGGGAGAGGAAAGGACAATACGAATCCCTGGCCTGTACCAGGTACAACTAGAGCACTGAGACACAGGTTCATTGCACATCTCTCCACATAGAACAAAAAACTCAACAACACTGGGATTCTCAGCAGAATTCACTGCTGTGAGATGCTAAACAGTCAGCAGCTTTTGGATGAGCCTGGAAAAAGGCTCCCAAATGGCCTTAAGTGTGCCAACCAAGGTGCAACTTTGCGCAAAAAAATCAGGAGTTTCCTCCTTGCATTTTTCTTCCACATCTAGTTTGATGGGCTGAGCAAGGAAGACTGTCTCATCACATCATGGACTCCTCTTCCTCTTCTTCAATCTCTTTATCTATCTGAAACGCTATGTTCTCATAGCTGGTCATCCCTCCATATTTTCTCATATGGACCATCAGAGGTTTAGGTGACTGGCTTCCTGCCAGAGTGGCCACATACATTCCAGTTCTGTTCTCCTCCAGGGAAGGACCCCAATCCATGGCTGGCCTGCTAGCTTGCTGGATTCTCTATTAGCAGAGAAATAAAACAATTTATAAGAAGAGTGGTGATGGACAATCTAATAACAATGAAGTCACTGGAGATCGAACTAACTCCCCAAATAAGTCCTTCATGCTGCATGAGTGCATCCAAGACAAAAAATAGCCTTGAGGGTCTTCATGCAGCCCATAAGGACTGGCTTCCAAACAGGTCTAAAAAACATCAGAGTGTACAGGTGTTATTGAATCTTTTGAAGCACTGGAAGAGGAAGAGCAATTCCGTTTCCTCAGTAACCCATTTACCCAGTGTTTACATCATTGCTTCCAGTATTTCATAGATGAAAATCTGGAAACTTGTGGACAAGCAATATTAGAAGGAGGTCAAGATGGCAAGAAGTACCTATTTTTATTTGTACCTATTGTGAATCATTTTGAGTAGTTGGAGAAAATCATAATAAAAATTTAAAAATCAGCATTTGACAATTGAATAACTGTTAATTGCTAGGTTATGATGCAAAAGCCCTCTCCAAAGTTCTCAGTGCACAACCAGTGAAGGGAATCTACAAGGGAAACATATTGGCATAACATAAAAAAACCTGGGTGGGCATGGTATTGGGTCATAGGTGACACCAACTATTTTGATTCTAACATAATTATCATCAGCAGCAGAGATCTGTTAATGTCACAAAGGGTGCATCTACACCATAGTATGACTGCACGTTCATAGCACTTTAACTGCAATGGCTCAATGCTATGGAATCATGGGATTTGAAGTTTGCTGAGGCACCCACACTCTTTGGCAGAAAAGGCGAATGACCTTGTAGAACTATAGCTCCCATGATTCCACAGCATTGAGTCATGGCAGTTAAAGAGGTGCCAAACTGCATTAATTCTGAGAAGTGAGAAATGCAATGAACAGTCCCTCTGACTATGTGGCACCTATATATTGTTCAAAAGATGTACACAGTTTGGATTCCAAATATTTTTGAAATGAGAAATATTGTATGTTACAATAATGCAAAACAGAAGCGACAAATTTCACTATTTTTCTCCATATAATGATTTTGATTTAGATATGAAATTAATTCAAGTCTATGCAATGTACATATACACCACTAGAGGACACCTTCTGCCACAAAATAACAGTCTGAAATGTGATATTGATTTAACAGAATGCATGGCTATGGTTCCTGGGATGACAATAAGATCTGATCTCATGTACCTTTCTTGCTTCTTGAGGTATTGCTAGAGCATTTCTTCCCATCCCACCCCAAACCCCAATGTTAGAAAGAGAGAAAGAAATTGAGTGGGTGAGGTGAGGATCAGGTAGGGAAGGCTCAAGATTCACAGTATCTGAAAAACCTTTCTGACCTTCTCAAAGAAGGAGCAAGATTCAGATCAACCCTGGACTGGTGTAAATGTTTTTCTCTGGTTACTCATATAGGAGGGAAATGCAAAAACTGCAGCAAATTTCACTCTAGCATACCTATTAATTAGGCAATGTTGGACCATCTCAATTTCTGGGTTTTTTTAAATAATTTTAATTCAAAGTTTCCATAAAATGAAATAAACTACAGACAACACACAAGACAACACAACGCAACTCATAATCTACACACTACTTAAGCATCCATCATTAACATCACCCTAATAAACAAAGAAAAAGAGAGAGAAAAAAGAAAAACCATCCCAACTTCAAAGAATTCTCACTTAGACATAGGACTGCTCTGCCAAAGTAAATTTATTGAATGAATGTGGGGAAGATAAATTTGTCAGTTTAGAATACCTTTCAAAGGACCATACCGCCTTTTATGAGCTCCTTAGGCTCCTAAAGTTGCCTGGAGAGGCCTTTTTATATGTCCCAGGTTTGGCTGTGGGAACAAAGTGTGAGGGTCTTCTCAGTGGCTGCTCCCAGACTTTGGAACTATATTCTTAGGCCCCTTCTACATGACCAAATAAAATCCAGATTGTTTGCTTTGAACTGGATTATATGGCAGTGTAGACTCATATGGTCCAGTTCAAAGCAGACAATGTGGATTATGTGCTTTGAAAATCTAGTGTAAAAGGGTGCCCCTGCCCTTGCTCTCCTTTTGTGCCATCAGGCTTTTACAAACTGAATAGGATTGGGCTGTTAATACTGTGTGAGGCTTTTTAAAAGTTTTGTTCAAAAAGGTTTATATTTGTACAGATTTTAAAATGCATTTTAATAAGTGCTGCTGAGTTACCCATTTGTTACTTACCTGCCAGAGTGTCCCTTCCTCTTTGAGCACAGCAAAAACCATCCCTATGGGGATCATCAGGCAGGAGAAAAGTCCCATCAAGATGCCCAGGGCCTCAGCCCAAAAGGGAAAACGATAGGTGCCATTATATTCTGAAGGTTCATACTTGATTATACTGTACACCAGCAAAGCCTGAAATAGAGCATCACACATCTGATATCAAGTCAAAACCAAGGATTTTTCAATAGTTTTGAGTTTAAGTGCAATTCAACTTGGTGGCATGCTGTATTACCCATGCAGTTTAAGCCTCACAGAGGTTAGAATAAGAAACTCTTGCCAGAAGACAAGGAGAGAACACTGGAGAAAACTGATCAGAACAAACATAGTTACCATCATTGTTACTGGGGACAGGAACAACCAACAGGCTTTGAAGTATATCCCTGGTTTAAAACCCAGCATCATGTGAATATCACGGCAAAATCTCTTCATGCCTAAAGATAACATCAAAAAGAACAGGTCAATGTCTCAAGTGTTTGGAATGGGATTCATTAATGGTATAATCCAATGCATGTTCACTTTGTAGTATATGTTCAACGGGGCTTAACTAAGGGATATGTGCATCTAGTTGCAGTCTAGAGTTAATCCCATGAAACACAGTGGAAAGTACTTCCAGGTAACTATCCATAAGATTATGCTCCACAACTTTTTTTTTACTCCAGGAACTAAGGAAGTGCAAAGGTATTAAGTGGAATGCATGTTCCAGGCAATTATCCTGTTTTCCTCCTATAATTGGATTGTACTCAAAGATAAGTGTCTAAAACTTGCATATTAAGCCTTTGTTTACCTACTAGTAACCAGTCATCAGTTACAGAGAATGATCTTATAGGCCCAGTATTTCTCCCAAGTCCTAGACAGTATGTCTTTCATCTCACTTTTAATGAATGGGCCTTCTATACAAAATACTCAAGCATTCAAAGACTGAAGGAACTACCAGTATAACCCAAGCCTCTTACCATATACACGAGTGACCGCCAGGCAGGTGGTAATGACAACCACCATGAGTCCAAAGCCAGCACTGTAGTCATCCAGCAGCACCAACCAATACATTCCACCCTAGAGAGAAGAAGCAAGGCATGGCCAAAGCATGTTCCCAAGGTACAATATTGCCAAATCACAGTTAAACAATTAAAGCCAGCAATAACCCTTAACTAAACTCTACTTGCCTTTCTAAATAAATTTACTTGGCAATTACCAGAAGTAACCCATCCTACTCTTGGCTGAGTTTAATAATCTAAATATACAGAAAATGTAGACACTATAGTCATTGCAGGACTTTTAATCAAGTTCTTCTGTCAGTGCACAAAAACCCAAAGAATACAATTTTTACCAGTTCTACACTGTTTCACTTGTATTCTTTTTGTCAATTCCTGTTTCATATAGCCAGCTGGATAAGCAATAAAAAACAAACCATAATTCTAATTCAGACCTAAAATCAGACCATGCTAAAAAGAGTTACTAATGAAACAAGAAACTATGGTTGTATTTGTGCTTGGTTAACTGCAAGAAAGAATGCAACAACATCACAATTTGATATATATGAACCTAACCAATGTAATTTATCTGCTAAGTAATAGATCATATTTTGAATAAGCAGAACAAATTATTGTTAAAAAGAAGCCAATTATGTTACAGGAAATTGTAGCAGAATCAAGTGTGTGTTAAAGAAAAACCTTATGATGTTAATTATTATGTGCAGCTGGTAATGTAGGTCAGCTAGTATGTTTGGGCCACACCCGGTGGGGTATAACTGTATGGATTTTAGAATACAGTTTGGAGAAGCAAACTGTATAATAATAATAATAATAATAATTATTATTATTATTATTATTATTATTATTATGATTACGCTACTCTGAGGAGGAGAAGCAATATGCTGTAATGCTGCTATGCTCTAACAGCGATGCTCTTTACTATGGTGGAATAGCTATTTACTCAAGGTTTATGTTTTGCTCTCTCATTTGAATGAAGATGAAGAAGCTTTATTCTATGTAACTTAAAAGGACTATGTAAGTTTACTGCACTGTTTGATTTTGTATGCAACACTGCAAGTTTATGCCTCTGCTGATAAGAGTAAAGTTTTTCTGTTCCTTTTTTTCTCTGGCCTGTGTGTCTTTTGCATGGGACTTGGCTTAAACACACTCTGAGCAACAAATTATATGGGGCTATTATGTCTGGTATCTGCTGTGCCCTGCTCACAATCACTTGTACTGCTCAACATAGATAAGGTAGAGACTTTCCCCCTTTTAACTTTTTACTCTAACACCACTTTGTCTTTGTCCAATTTGCTTACCTCTGTTGTGAGAATGAGTCCCATCAGGAACATTGTGACACAAATAACCCCTGAGAAAAAAGCCTTCTTTGGACGCAAGTAGTAGGGGAACTCATCAGTCACAGCAGTGACTATGGTCTCCAGAAAGGCAAACTGCGCACAAACAAAAATACATCCTCTTGTAAATCCAAAAGAACCAAGCACTTGAACATACCCATAAAGGATTCTCTCAGAACAAATGACAACCTTACCTGACTGTCCAAACCAAGAGTTAACAGCATGAAGAAAAAAAGGAAAGACCAGAAAGGAGAAAGAGGAAGCATTGTCATGGCTTGTGGGTAGACCACAAAAGCCAACCCTGGACCTGGAAGACAGGCAAAGAATGAGAAGAACCACAGCTGGGATTATGTAACTGCAATCAAGAAGAGACTGGATTCATGGATGTAGATAAGTGAAGCCATAAGAAGAGAGATTTCACCAAAACAGTCTGGAACTGTTATGCAAGGTTAAAATATAAAGATTAGAGCCCCACATTGGAAAAAGACACATTGTCCAGCTGAAATACAGGAAAGGAGTTTACATAGAGCCTCCTCTGAACCAAGCATTTAAATCTAGGTCATTCTGTAGACAGCAATGCTGCCTGCTTTGTGCATGGTGCCTCATAGACAGCGAACAATAACATCCAGGGATTAGATGAGTCTTCAGCCTTAGATGTCAAGAGATCTTGGGCGGCCGTTGATTAACAAATCTTTTCCAAAATCATCAGTAATATTAATACTATGCTAGTTGTGACAGGGAATCTTGAGACTGCACATAGGAAAGCAAATTGCAGTTTTACCTAGAATTTAAATGATTGTTGATAATCATTTCACTCACCAGTGTATATTATTACTTAACAATTACAGGGCGTGATATTGACAATTGTTATTAGTTTGGCTTTCTATTTTCTTTTTTTCCACAATACCAGAGAAGATCCACTGTCAGACCGCTTTTTGAATATCTATTCCATTGTACCTCATCTCCTCCAAAAGTTACACTGGAAGAAAGGGGACTTATCATTCAGCAGTTGCTTCAGTTGGTCTATTCTAATTAGGACTAGCAACTGGATTTAGGTCTTTATCATCACCATGGTAATTAGCTGTAAAAGTAATGGGTTTTCATTGTTCATTCAAGACCAAGCTACCCCCAAATACTTACCATAACAATGGGGATAGTTGCCAACAATACGCTATTGCTTTGAAAATCAATATTATATTGCAAATACTATGAGGCTTGCTGCTAAATTCAGGGTAATGGGTGTAAGAAGAAATCATTTTCATTGGTAACCAAGAAGTCCATGTTTTTTCCTCTATAGGGTCTGGCTTCTCTACAATGATGTTTGCAAGCCATTCTCATGTTGTATTAATATTAACATTTGGGTAATATAATACATACAAAGGCACTCACATGTTCCCTAAACATTTAATGAAGGAATTTTTAGGCCTTACCAGCTTTGGCCACTTCTTGAACAGGGACATCAAGTTCTTGGGACATGTAGCCCAAAACAGAGAAGATAGCAAAGCCAGCTAAGATACTGGTGATGGCATTGCCCACTGTGACTATAAATGTATCCCTGCAAAATAACAACAGCAGCAGCAAAATTAGGAGCCATGAAATGCAAAAAAAAGGTACTTGCTATTTCAGAAACTGTAGAATGCACAACAGAGAAAATCCAGGGAGGTGTGAAATAACATTGAATGATGCCACCCATCTCTTAAAATTAAATTTCTATACCAGTTAAAGGTAGAGTGAAAGTTAAGTTTCTCTAAGCAAAATACATTTTATTTAGTGACAGTGTAGAATGTTAGTTAGGCTACCAGCATTTGACACTGTTATTTATCACTTTTAGGCAAAATGTAGAGCTCTTCCAGATTGGTCCAATAAAGAATGAATTGTTTTTCTACAGCTTCTAGGTTTTTGCTGGATTTTACTAGTTGTTGGCACTCCCATGTCCTCTCAGAGGGTAGGGGCTGTTTTTAGCAGTTTATTGGGTTTTCAAAAATAAACAATCTAGATTGACTGTAAAGGCACAGATTTTGTTTCTTTTCTTTCTGGTTTTATACTAGATCAAAATAAACCAATCTGAAGAGTTGGTATTAAAAAATTCTGACCACACCAAGAGTTCACAGAACATATTCTGGGGTAAACAAAACATGCATGGTTCTTCAGAACAATATCGGAAAGAACAAGACCAAATCTGGCATTTTCCGGTCTTTAATTAGCGAATATATGCCCCTAGTTTGGAGGGCAAATTTTCATTTCTCTGAATTTTATTTCTTTTTAAAGTTTTGAATGCAAATTTTCCATTTTACCAATTCACTATACCACTAATAGCTCCAATAAAAATTAAAAGAAAGGAGAAAAGAAGGAAATATATCTTGAAGTTAAAAAGAAATCTACTTGAGGATGAGAAAATTTGTTTGCAGCTGGTGCCAGAAATTGCTAGAAAATAGTGCAGGATAACAGAAATGTCATTTAGATTAAAAAAAAAGCTCCTTGAAAACTACAGCTACAAATACTGCAATTAAATCCAATAAAAACCCTTTTAACACATTCACCTATCAAGAGGAGCCCACACTCTTCTAAAAATAGCTACTTTCTTGTCATTCAACCGACACTCCAAAAAAAGGATTAGACTGTAGAGAAAGTATTGTGGAGGGTAAATCTACATTAGCTGCTAAATCTTACATAGATATACATGGCTGAGTCTGTAGTGATGCTGGCATGATGTCCACATGGTACCATCAGGCCAAAAACATATCAGCCTCACATCAACCTCAAATTTTGTTTCACTGACCCTGTTCCCAGTCAGACACAGAGTTCTGTGCAAATACAGTAGGATCTGATTTAGCTGTCTAATGGCCCTGAAGCTGTGGGATCCTCTGCAGCACCCCTCATGTTGTCTGCAATGGGGGGAAACCCGGGAAAACCCATGCTATGCAACAGAAGTACTTGAGGACAGCCAGGAGCCAATTCAGGGTGAGTCTGAGGACCTCATCACATTAAGTCACGCAATGTGGGTGACAGTGGGAGGGTTCACCAAGCAATGTAGCAAATCTGTCAGGCAGTGGGGAAATCCCTACAGTGCCCGCAGCGCTGCTTTTCCCATCACACAGGGGAAAACACCACTGCTTCTCCCCGCACTTGCCCCATTGCTGGCAACAAGAACAGAGGAAGCTTCACATGTTCTCATTCTTTTGTCATACGATGCTTTCAGCACAGTTCAGGAACAGAGCCCACCACAAGCAGCTCTACATTGTTTGATAGGATCCGGTGGGCTCCATCCTTGAACTGTGCTGAAAGCATAGTGCAATGGGTAAATTTCCCCGTGTGATGAAGTCCTTAGTCTTTTTGCCCATAACTGTGGATTAGTATTGATTTTACAATCTTGTTTAAAACTCCTAGCTCCTCTCTCTGCCTGCTTACCTTCCATTATTACTAAATAAATATTCTTTATTTCACAAAATCTACATACCTATTTGTTTTTTACTTCTACTTTAGGTTACCACATCCATGATTCTATCTTTTAAATTGTCAAAATTAATATTCACCCACATTCCCAGAACAGTATATTCTGTTCAGGGAAAGGAGGAAGCTCCAAGAATGTAGAAAGTAGACAGATATTAATAGCTGCACCCTTCTATGTGTTTTAGCTTCATGAGACATTACAATGAAAAAAATGTACCTGTAAATATTCTGGTGAAAGGTGTTGTATGATGCAAACGTAAGAAGTCCCCCAAATCCCACCCCAAGAGAGTAGAAGATCTGCAAAGCTGCTTCAATCCACACCTGAAAAGGAAAAAACGAAGAGAGAAGGGGTAAGAAAAACAAACATAGTGGGGGAAAATGAAACAAAATTGTTAATCAACATGCTGAAAGGTTCAGAGTCTGCTTTGAAAATAAAATAGATCCAAGCTTTTTTGACAAATACATTACATGAAAACACTGACTTGAGCTAGGTATAAGAAGAACATTATAGCTACAAGTTAAATATACCTTATCCAACCAGATTTTTTTTTAAGATTGTGGATTTTGTTCTGATTTTGAAATACCTTCATTTGCACATACTTACATAATGAGATATCTTGGAGATGCAACCCAAGTCTAAACATTAATTTTTTTTATGTTTCATATACATATACATATACATATACATATACATATACATATACATATATATATATATATATATATATATATATATATATATATTACAGACACTCTGTAGCTTGAAGGTAATTTTATTTTATGTAAAGTATTTTTAAATACTTTTGTACATGAAACAAGGATTATGTACACTGAACCATTCAAATGCAAATAGGGTCACAATCTGAAGACTTGTCCACGCTAGCCATATACCCTGAAGTGGGCCAGGGAATTTTGGGGAGCAAACTGCCACATTTATTGGTGGTTTGGGAACTTTTAGCTAGTATGAGGCAAAAAAAAATTCCAGAAGAACACTGAGAGAGCTGAGATTTTGGGAGGCTTCAGAAGCCACACTTAAGTGTCCAAAGGCTGCATTCACTCATGGACCACATTTTGTTTACCTTTGCTTTAGGTAGTATAAGTTTGCCGTGTATAGTTTTAATAGCAAAAATGTTGCTATTAGTACAGTATATGTTACAAGGATGGTTCAAAAATCATTTTCTTGAATCAATCTTTAAAAATCTACCTGCATTTTTGCAAGGAGTGCTCTAGCAGTATGAACAGTAGGGGAGCCAATTAAAACCTGTTTGACCTATAACCATTCCTACAGAACAGAATTTTTTCTTATGCACAATTTGAGGAGTCTCCTGCTGCCCACACCTGCTTCAAATGGGATGCTCTCTCACGTGCAGCACTCAAAATAAGTGTGCGTCATTACCATCCTCCTTCAGTAAAAGGATGCAAAACAGCTCTCACCTTGGGAGACAGCAGCAGGTCAAACTGGGGTGTAAGATAGAATTTGATTCCTAACCAGGCTCCTTCCAGGGTCACACCACGAATCAGGAGCATAATCAGGATGAGGTAAGGAAAAGTGGCAGTGAAATACACAACCTGCAGGAGGGCAGAAAAATATGACTAAACTGAGCTATTATTTTTCGTATTCATAAAAAATATGAGCAAGGTTGCTGTATCAAAGCTGCAAACATTCAAGATAATGTACTTTGTGGTAAGTTAAGCTTGTGAAATCTAGTCCTGTATGGGGCAGTGGTGGTTGCAAGAAAAAATTATTTGCTTTCCTCTGTATGATAGTAACAGATATTCAGGCATATTGATAGTCCTGTCATGTCACACCTTGGCCTGCTCCTCTTCAGGTTAAACATAGCCTCTTCTTTCAACCTTTCCTCACATAGGTTGGCTGGCATACCACCAACTGCCCACCTGTAAATGGACTTTTCTTTTGCAAAGTGCAGTGTCCATAAGTATGCAGTTTTGCCAAAATCCTGAGAATCTTGAGTTTGTGGTTTTTTAAGTATTTAAAGGAATGCTTTTAACTTTTATGTCTACAAAAAACCAAAACAAATATGTGTCTGCTAAAGACTTCAAACCAGTTGAGAGAGTGTGCTCTATCTATCTATCTATCTATCTATCTATCTATCTATCTATCATCTATCTATCTATCTATCTATCTATCTATCTATCTATCTATCTATCTATCTATCTATCTATCTATCTATCTATCTTCCAGTCACACCAAATACACTGCCAATGAATCCTACAGGGCTTTCCCCTTTCTCTGTACCACCCCAAACAAAAGTAGATGTGATTCTATTAGGCAAACCTGTACAATTAATTTTGAAGGGAGAGTTTAGTTACTAGTCACTGAATCTGAATTTAATAGCCAAAGGTTAACTAAAATGTTGCCATGACACAGTGTTTATTATAATATCCTATAATATAGTGTTAAGTTTCCTTCAGATTCTACATCATCGTAGCTGGTTCATATTATCTGCACCAGCAGATAAATGAGTCTAGTTGTTTATTCCAAAACAAACACATTCTGTGTCTTTCCACATCTTACCTTGCCAGAGGATTTTACTCCCTTTAGAATACAGAGGTACACAATAACCCAGGCGAGGAGGAGACATAGACACAGATTCCAGCGAATTGCCCCAGGATCCCCAATCCCTGAGCTCTCTTGGATGTGCAGGACATAGCGACTAGGTCAAAAGGAAAACCATCAATAAACAGCAGCACTACCCCTCTAACAACACAAGGCTATTCTAGCTCAAATTCACTGAAGCTATGGTAAGGCAACTAAGGATAGCTTCAGATATGATGAGTATCCTACACATAGAGAAAATTATTTTACATTGCCTTTCATGACACCAATGCATAACCATAATTGTCACAGTGCACATGCATTTGATCCACACACATACTGTAAGGCAATAGCAAAGCACTGTTTCCAAGTATGTGAACATTTAGTGAAACTGATGCACCTGTTTGGATCTATCACTTATCTGGATCTATAAAAACTTTTGTTTTTATCTGCAAGGTTTTAGATAATCAATGGCAGGCAAACTCTTCTTTGAGAGCCAATGTGGTGTAGTAGTTTGAGTGTTGAGGTAAGATATTAGGGTTCAAATCCCCATTTGGCCATGTAAATCCTCTGGGTGACTTTGGACAAGTCAAACCTCTCTGAACCTTGGAGGGCAACAAGGGCAAATCTCTGACACAAATTTATGTCATAGGAAGCAGACTTTAAGCTTTCAGCATGAAGTACACTAGCTGACAAAAATAAAATCAATAATACCTGATCATGTTGATAACAAAATGATTAATGCCTTGAAATTATAATAGGCTGAATAAGGTCCTGTTCTCATTTCCTCTCACCTAGGATATTTTAATGATATATGGATTCTAAGGTGACTCAGTCTGGCTCTCATAATCCACAATTTCCATGATGAATACCAAAGAAAGAGAGAATTATGACATATGGACCTCATCACACTTACTAAAAAAAAGTGTCCTAGGACATTTTGAGCCTTCTTTGGGGACAGAGCCCCACGCCAGCTATCACACAATGGTGTGCGATGTCTGGCAGAGACCCTGCCACCAACCAAGGTGGAAACATCCTTGGACACTTCCCCCAAACACGGGAGCCTTCCTGTGTTGTGCTGGCTTCAATGGAACCAAAATGCTTCTGCCCTGGTTTCTGGAGAAATGGCAACAGCACTCACCTCCAGTACTCCTCACTTGGGCTGACAGTGTTAGAGAGGTTGAGAGGGACAACACCATTCCCAGTGCGCATGACATGGTGGTCCAAGCACAGGTCTGTGTTCCACCAGTTGCCACAGTACTGCCAGGGCAAGTTATTTGTCAGTGAGGCAAAGAGGTAGAAGAGAACATAAGCAATGATCATGTTGTAGTAAATGGCCACTAAAGAGACAATCAGGATTGTGGCCATGCCAACACCTAATGGAAAGCAGAAACAAGGGAGATAAGTATAACAGCAGCAGTCTTAGGCGCACTGCCAATGCATTTCATGTGCCTTGGGGGAAATTTCAGTGCCATCAAACCTGAGACAGCTACATATGCTCATATATATATATATATCCCCTGAAATACATCTTTCAGCACTTGATATTCATTGGAGCAGAAAGATTTACAGTCGACTCTCCATATTTACGAGGTTAATTTTTGTGCATTTTATTATACATGGATTTGAATAATACGTTTCTCTAAGAAAGCCCTTCAGTATGTCATCTGATGAAAATAGCACTGGAGAACCCAGAGATTCCTAAAAAGGTGTTCTCTCAGTTTAAAAAATATTCACAGTTTTTCCACTTTCATAGGGTTCTGCATCCCTAAACCCCACAAGAGCAAAGGGCCTACTGTAGTTGTTTTAGCTGCATGGTCAATTTATAACCATTTGATCAGAATCTTTACAGTCTCCCAAATTCTTCTAGTCTAGTCTATTTTACCATTATTTACCGCACTTATATCTTGCCCTTCTCAACCCTGAAGGGGACTCAGGGCTGCCTTACAAAGGCAACAATGTGATGCCGCATGTACATAGAAACTAATTTAAAATCAAGTCAGTTATATGAAAAATGCAGCCATACCAAAGGTTTCTAGATATCTCAGGCCCTGTCTACACTGTCTTTATATCCCAAGATCTGATCCTATCTGTTTATCCTAGATTATATGGCAGTGGAGACTCAGTTCAAAGCAGATAACCTGGGATCATATCCTGGGATATAAGGACAGTGTGGAAGGGGCCTAAGCCAAAATAGAGTTTATGTCTCTGAAACTACATGGGAAACCACAGGCACAAGTAATTAAAAGTACCAATTTTAATTGTCCTCAAGATGCATTGAAACACAGAATTACTTTGAAAAGTTTATAAGTAACTAAAATTGGGGAGGAGCGCCACAGACTTATTGCAGTGATTAATTATTTTCACAAACTAACTTCTGCAACCATACTATTTCTCTCATTAATTCCTTTGCTTATGCTGCCAAGGAATGCATCATCTATCCTGGTTTCATATTGCATGAACAGTAACAATGATGGCTGGGTGCTTTTGCACAGCCAGTCCTGAGTTTCTACACCTCAGAAGATCAAAAGGAAATGGAGGATATACCCAGAAATCAAGCAGAGCACTGTATCATGAGCACACACCTTTAAAGAGTGGGCTTATCTTCCAAACAGCAAGAGGACCCAGGCTTGAGAACTGGCCCAGTGACAACTCCATGAAGAAGATGGGAATCCCACATATAGCCAACATGATAAAATAGGGAACAAGGAATGCTCCTGTAGAATATAAACACAAGACACATGGGACAGTGGCCTTGATCAGAAACTGGGGAAACATTGAAAAAGGATATAATTAATATATATGCAGAACTTTTAACACAGATGGATATTCTATTTACAGACTTACTTTATCCCCATTACTTGGGTTATGGGGCTGCAATATAGAGATATGATCTATAGTTTTAAAACCAACAATGTATCAGGGAATGAAATGTAGCTTCTCCTACTCATTTATCTTCTCACAACACCCCTACTGAAGCAGCTCCAGTGGCTGCCAATTTGTTTTCAGTCTCAATTCAAGGTGCAGGTTATGACCTACAAAGCCCTAAACGGTTCGGGCCCTTCCTATCTTCATGGTCACATCTTCCTCTATGAACTGGCATGGGCTCTAAGATCTGCCAGGGAGGCCCTCCTCTCACTTCCACCACGTCACAGGAATGGCGGGTGGGGACAAGGGAGAGGACCTTCTTAGTGGTGGCCCCTCGACTTTGGAACATCCTCCCCAGGAAAATTAGGCAAGCCCCCATCAAGTCCTCCTTCCGTAGGGATCTGTAAACCTAGATGTTCCAGTAAGTATTTGAGAACGACTAGTCCCTAGTACAAATGCCCAGTCCATAGGTCACCAAACAGTACTGTTTTCTGCACCCCATCTAATTCCCCAGCCCTATAGCTTGTTGTTTTGCACTATCCCATGGCCAACCCTTTTATAGCCCATCATGCCCATTTTAGTAATTCTTGTTATTGGCTTTTGTTGAGCATTGTCTGATAGAACTTCAATGCTGCTGTTTTATTCTCTTATGTCTAACTGTGTTTTATCTGGACTGTTGTATTTTACGATGCTCCTGTTTTAGTGGTGGTTTTGTTTAATGGATTGCTTTGCTTTTTTTCTGTTGGACTTTCTGTCCCATATGTATGCTGCTCTGAGTCACTTTGGAGGGATGGTGGTGGGGTATAAGAATAAAGTTATTATTAAAGCTATGTTGCATGTTCTGTGTTTTGCCTGCCTGCCTACTCTAGTTGTGCAGCAGGTAAGGGAGGGGTTGGAAAGGAAAGAGCCAAAGACAACATGATGTACTCTGACAGTTGGAGTAGGGTCATACTGTGTCAGTCCACTAACAGATTGCGTCCATCGGCCTTTGCATCACTAGGGCTGTTGTCACTCAGTGCAGTAACTCATGGAGTCACCCCCATGGACTTCCTCCCATTCCAGACTATACCACAGTATAGCATGACCCCCTTATTTACAGATCTGATAGTCATAGTTTCCCATATCTATGCTGCAGAAACATTCCTCCCTTCAAAATGTTTATGGGCCTTTTGATGTCTTCCAGCATGGTTCTATGGTATGCATCTGATGCAAGAATAGTCAAAATATAGGGCACATTATAATCAATGGTTTCAGGTAATCATGTGTGAGGTGTGCATCTTGAATGTATCCCCCGTAGATATAGAAGCCATACTGTATTGCAGTTAAAATACCAGAAAACTTGACAAACTCAGCAGCTATTTAAAAAAAACCCCTAAAAATAACAGCGTGATCTTATTGTGTGTGCTGACAAAAAGCATCCTTGTAACTGGATAATAGTTAACACCTCTGACCAGAGTGCATGAACATGAGAAGTTACAAAAAGTAAATTAGCATAGAGATTTAACCTTGTAGGTATAAAGATACTTTACATGTAAACTAGACTGAAGAAAAATGTCTTTGTGGTTAGTTACATCTAACCACAAGGGTACAGTTTTTACAAAGCAATACATTTCTGCTGAAACACCACACACATTTTTTAAAATAGATGGCCATTTTTATGTCACTCCCTCTGATAGTATCATTCAGTGCAATTCTGACTTCCTGTTGGGTACTACATTTTTCTTCAGTCCAAGGGATGCCATTGTCCATTAGCAGAAATGAAAGAGGTAAGGGAATTGCAAATCTGCTGATTAACTGCATGGCAGAGCCTGCTCTGGTAGAAGGTTAGAACAAGGACTAAAAGTGGGGAGAAGATCTTCCTGAGTGACTAACAGACACCTTCTAACACTCCGTCGGATTCAAAGCATGAAATTGAAATTCCAAGTTGCCTCAAAGAATCTGTGAGTGGTAGTTCAACCAAGTAACTTTCCCAAACTCTGCTCCGATTTAAAACTTGGTTTCTTATTATTCTAAATATGCAGTACAAAAATCTTAATTGTTGCCTGTCAGATCTTCCACTTTTGCCCTAGCACTGAATCACATTATATAAACATCCATATTGCCATACTCATAATATGCTTATCAGATGCCCTAGTTCAGGTGCAAAGCATATTTTGTCAAGCAGAAGATCTCAGAATAGACCTTTTAACATGTCTAGTTAAAAGAATAGGTGGCAAATAACAGAAAATATTTTTCTGTTCCTGTGACGCTGGCTTGCTGCTGCCAATTAGACTATATAACTATGGGTTAGATGGAATAAATAGCCTGACCTATCAGCTTCCCAATGTAAATGGTAAATATTTTTATTACCTTTGACAGGCAGGAACTAAAAGAATATTTCCAGAGGGCAGCCTTCTAGCACTCTCAGTCAAAAGTCACTGCATAGCTATTCCCAATTTATCCTCCTTAACATATTTTTTGAAAGAATGAGCTATGGGAAGAAATGTGGTGTTACAATGGATTACAACATTATCTAGTTCTGCTCCTTGCCTGATGAAATTCCAGCAAAGTTTTCAGGAAGGATTTCAATGTGAAAATACTGCAAGATTTTCAGTGTAAGTTTGAATCCCCCAAATCAGGGACACTTTTCTGAAAAAGTGCTGCTTTGGTGACGTTTGGTCTCAAAAGCACTCCTCTACACTGTTGCGCTGCCTTGCTACCCCTGCCAATATATATCCTATTTTTGCTGCAAATTCATAATTATAGCAAAACAATAACATTTAAAAATTAAAAGAAATTTTTATTAAATGCAACCTCAATCTATTTGGAAATAGTGGGGGGAAGAGGAAGAGAACATACCTACTTATGCCATGTGATTGCCAGAATATTGCAACTACAGTGAAATGGACAGATCACAACAGTGGCAATATTGGAACAGCAGTGACATTGTCAGTCTTTGGCAGGTTTCCTATCAATGAAAAATGCCCTTTACTATAATGATAAAAAGATAGAGATGGAGGAGGAGGAGCAGGAGCAGGAGAACAGAAGGAGAGGGAGAAGGAGAAGTAAAATGCAGAGCCACAAGAAAAGAGACACGACATCATGTGGCAAAATGGTATTATTCTCTTATTATGGTTTTCCAACTACATGTGATAAAGATCTCAGTTTAGCAATATAATCCAGGACATATATGAATCTATTATTGATTTTTTTGTTAAACATGTTGGCTTCAGAACTTTTTGCCAACTTTCTGCATTTCACCCAAAGGTCTACCATAAGATGTAAACCTACCCTCAGTAATTTGCCCTCAGTAATTTGAGAAGTTTACCAATGTGTTTGTGATATAAATAAGAATGTGTTTTATGTCCCAATTTAGCATTCTGGCTGCTGTATTTTTAAAAGACATTTTCCATTATTTTTCAAATATGGGATTTTGGTGGTGTTTTCTATGACTATGTGGTAATGCAAGGGGCTCAACTTCTCCTATAATAAACAAGCATCTTCCTTTGTCAAAAACAAGCTTCCCACTCCCCATTTTTTAAATCAATGGAAAGAGAAGCTTTATAAGCTATTTGAAAAACTAAATTCTGTAAGGAAATCATACCTTATTGTATTAGCAAAACATTCCTGAAGGTTTAAAGTGAGTAAATGGTTAAAATCTTGTTGTTGACAATTTTGTCCAGGATGGCATCTCCAGGAGGTGCTGCCCTTTTACATCCTGTATTCCTGCAAGCTGTATAATATAATGACTCAAGAGGATGCTTGCCACCTACTGATTCACCAGCATTGCTCTTGGAAACATACAAGGCACTTGGCAGCAGTGTCAAGCATCAAACTGGAGCCTGCTCAAGAGTAAATAGTTCACCTTTTACAAAAACAAAATGCCTCCATGCTTCTATAGGCCTCATCAGATGACCCTTGCAAAGCTGGGGAACAGCAGAGGAAATCATGGAGCAGTGTCATGTTGCATTCCCTACCTGTTGAAGATTGTCAGAAGTTATGATATCCCTTCCCATGGTGTTTCACTACTGTCCCTGCTTCCTCTTCACCCCCTTTAGCTTTCTTGTATGTTTCTCTGTGCTGCCGAAAGTAGTCCTGTGTCATTTGATGGGCTCTAGGGGACTCTGTGACAGCAGCATGCCAGTAGCACAGAGAAGTGGGGAGAAGATGCTTCTTGGCCTCAATGTGATGAGGACCTTAGTCCTATAATTCCCCACAAAACAATCTCATGGCATTCTCAACTTCGGTGATCAAAAGGAACCCCCAACATTTTCACTTCCATAACCACAGTGGAAATTTTCAAATCTGTTGTGGTGATAATTACAAAATGGATGTAGTAGACTATTGGATGTAGAATGGATGACTATTCACAAAATTTTGGAAGCACCTATTCCTTGCCATGTGTAGCATCATGTGTGAAAGGGAGGAGAATAAGGGAGAGAGGGAAGATCCAGTTAAAGCACAACATTAAGAAACGTATTTACATAACACTGAGCTTGCCAGGTGTCTCTTACTATCTGGGTTTTCCCTTGTATGAAGGCCAGTAAGATTGTCCCTTACAGGACTGGAAGGTGTTTCTTATTATGTCTCTCTATTTGAGGGATGGAAAGCTTTTCCTTTTATACAGATGCCAAAAAAATCCCAACAGATAGTATCTCTCTAGCCCTCTCTAGGAATTTTCACAGTCCTCCAGGTGATGTTTTGCTTCCACCCGAAACTACTATAGGGTTACACAGGCAAATTTCTAGAGATGATATCTCCATAGGAACTTCTTAGGTCCTACAGTGCAACTCTTTGGTAACCTCTGGTGGAGGCAAATCATAAAATGCCATAGAAAATTCCTTATCTTGTATGCTTCTTTCAATACAATACATTGGCATCATTATTAACACACACACCCATGCATGTTTTCTGGGCAGCATCCTAGCATGCTGCCAGGGTGCTTCCTTTATGGAGCTCCGCCAGAAGTAGCCTTGTATCGTATGATGGGCTCCAACAGGCTCCACCAAGAGAGCATCCTGGAAGCTTCCCGAATTCCATGTGATGAGGTGGTAAGTCACAAAGAATTCACTGATGCCACACTGCTCCCTTTAGGGGAACTTGTTTTTCTACCTACTTCTTGTGTTAAAGGGGAAGGCACTCAATGTTCCCTACTTATCAGGGCCAGCTCTATCATTAGATAGAGTGGCACAGAATCCTCAGGCAGTGGCTTTTCAGTATGATGAAAAGGTAGCAAATTATTGGTTATAATAACTAGTTGTTGCCCAAAGAGTCACCTTTAACCAGGTGACAGAGAGGTTGTTTACTCAGGCAAAAAAACATTTCTTGAACCAGTCCTTCAATGTAACTATTTCTATGGTTAGTTTGCAACATGGCTATAAAACTTGTAAACATGAACAATCAAAGAAATGATAGTATTCCATAAGTATGTGTTGTCCAATACTTACCTCCCCCATTGGTATAAGCACGGTATGGAAATCTCCAGACGTTCCCCAGTCCAACACAGTAGCCAATGCAGGACAGAAGGAAGTCTAGCTTGCCCGTCCAATTCCCTCTGTCTTCAGGGAATTCAGTCTGTAGGTCACCGTCCCCTTGATCACTTGGAGTCATTAACAGGTCTGGAATTGGCTGGAAAAGGGAAAATGAAGATACAAAAAGGAAATGAAGGGCAGATGTGAAAAAAGGACAAATTTCAGAGAGCAAAGGAGAAAGTCTTGGGAAAGCTAGTGTGCAGTGTACAAATCAAGGCTAGTTTTTAGCTATCTAATTGGATTACTCAAATCATTACACCATGCTGGCTTGGTAAGTTAAATAACTTACCCTTTCTTCCATTTCTATGTCATACTATATCTGCTGCCTGGGGTTGCTGCCTTATTCTCCCTAATGATAGTGTTGGCTGACCCTGTGTGCTATTTCAGACATAGCCCTTTCCTAGCCAGCAGATGCCAAGATCATGGGACGTTCTCCACCCAAACATGGGCTTGACTACATATACTTTTCCCATATGCAGTCCTGTTCCTCTCCATCATATGAATCTCGACAGAGATGTGAAGCTGGGTTTATTTCCAAAGTGAGAATCATATTGTTAGACCAGTATTCAATGTACGTATTCAACTTATATGCTGCCTTTTTCCAGAATGGGACCAATTGTGGTTTCCAAAAACAGTAAGTTAGGCAAGAACTACACGGCTGTATAATGCAGATTGAACTGCATTATATGAACCTACACTAATATATAATCCAGTTCAATCTGCATTATACTGGCAGTGTAAATGGGGCCTTAGAAACATGCAGCACACAGTCTAAATCAATCTGATTTCAAGCCTGGCCCTGGGAAGAGATGACACTGGTTGCCTTGGTGGATGATCTACAAAGAGAACTAGACAGGGAGAGTGTAACCCTGCTAGTTCTCCTGGACTTCTCAGCGGCGTTTGATACCATCAACCATGGTATCCTTCTGGGCCCTCTCTCCAGAATGGGGCTTGGGGACACTGTTTTGCAGTGGCTCCATTCCTTTCTGGATGGATGGACCCAGATGGTGGTGCTGGAGAACTCCTGTTTGACCCCCTGGCCGGTGGCCTGAGGAGTCCCTCAGAGTTCAATTCTGTCCCCCATGCTGATTAACATTTACATGAAATCTCTGGGAGAGATCATCCAAAGTTTTGGAGTTTGGTGTTAAGTTTATGCTGATGGCACCCAACTCTATTACTCCTTTCCACCAAAAGCCAAGGATGCCATCCTGTCCCTAAACCAGTGCCTGTCATCCGTGATGGACTGGATGAGGGCTAATAAATTGAAAGTAAATCCAGACAAAACAGAGGTACTCCTGATCAGTCAGAAGGTGGGTCAGGGTGTGGGATTACAGCCTGTGTTGGAGGGTGTCAGACTCCCCCTGAAGATACAGGTTTGCAGTCTGAGGGTGATCCTAGACTCATAGCTGACCCTGGAACCCCAGGGGTCAGTAGTGGCTATGAGCACCTTCGCACAATTAAAACTTGTGCACCAGCTGTGCCTGTACCTAGAGAAACCAGATCTGGCCATGTTAGTCCACACCTTAGTAACATTCCAGCTGGACTACTGCATCACTCTCTATGTAGGGCTGCCTTTGAAGATTGTTCGGAAGCTGCAACTGGTTCAGAGATTGGCAGCCGTGTTACTAACTGGAGCGCTGTACAGGGAGAGAACCACCCCATGTTACAGCAGCTCCCCTGGCTGCCAGTCCACTTCCAGGCTAAATACAAAGTGGTTATTACCTATAAAGGCATAAATGGTTCAAGCACAGAATATTTGAAAAACCACATCTCTGTAACAAGTGCTGTGATCTACAGATGAGGCTCTGCTCTTGGTACCACTCCCATCTCAAGCACAGTTGGTGGGAATGAGAGAGGGGGTCTTCTCCGTGATCACTCCCTGCCTCTGGAATTCCCTCCCTAAAGAATTAAAAATGCCCTCCTCTCTCCTCACTTTTAAAAAGCTATTAAAACTTGTTTGTGCACCTTAGCTTATGGAGGGGAGGAAGATTAGCAAATCTCCAAACAGACCCTCCCCTAGATACTGGAAACTTAGTTCAGCCCATTGGAAGCTGTAAACCATTTCATGTTTTAATGCCTTTTCAGTCTAACTTATAAGATTTTATCATGTGGTTAAATGTGTTTGATATGTTATATTATGTTTATCTATGTTTTAACTTTGTTATTCTTTGGTCAGTCTTATATAGTCTTAGGTTGTTTTATTGTATTTGATTTATTTAATATTTGTTTGTTTTGGCACTGAATGTTTGCCAATTTGTTACGTTACTGGAAACTGCCCTGAGTTTCCTCAGGGAGAGAAGGTGGGTTATAAATAAAGTATTATTATTATTATTATTATTATTATTATTATTAACAAATAAAATTATAATACATTTTAAAACCAATTTCAAAACTTGTAAAAGTTAAAATGTGCCTAATCAAAAGCCACCCCTGATTATATATTTTAAAATTGCTTAAATAAAAATGTCTTTCACTTGCTGGCAAAAGGCAGGTTGTCTCCTCTAAGTTAAAGAGACAGCAAGGACAGTAATCGCATCAGCTGCTATTGACCTGCTTAATGACTGTCTAGCTAGGAAGACAGTGTTGTGAAATGGAAGGAGACCCTATGCTGGAAGCAATTCTCACTTGACATAGCCTCCAAATGTATCATCCTAACAGTCTGATTTTTGGTACTTAATTTGATTAAAAGCAGAATCATGGGGTGGGAGTGTAAATCACACATTCAGAAAGGCTTTCTTAAGAGGGTCTTACCACTTAGTGATAAGAGTCTCAAAGCTGAGTAATACTTTAATTTTGAGTATGTGCTTATCTATTTCCTTGAAAATGGTTCCAGGATGGGTTCTGGTGAGTGCCTGGCCCAAATGAAGCACTGGCCCAAATTTCATTTTTCATCAACCTCAGCAGGCTACCACTATAAAGACAGTGTTCCTCTCATTCAGTTTCCATGGAGACAAGAGAAAGCATAACTGAGGAAACTGGCCTAATAGTGAAGCACAGATTTGCCTTCCATATGTTTACATGCTGTTAGGAGCATATGTACAAATCCCTGTGCACAGGAGCAGGCACACAAACACACTTTGTGTACCTGGTCAAGTTAATCTTACATGGGCATATAGATGTATATGCAAGTATTCAGCAGGCATATATGGATGTATAGATGGGCATCCAGGTCTACCAACAACAGATTAATACATAGGCACACATGCCCAAAACTTATAAACATGCACTTATCATATAGTCAAGAATATAATGGATGTAAAGTGATCATAGCTCCTATATACAGATACAATCGCATTGCATTCATGTACAAGGCAATGTATCCTCTTGTACAGGAACACACAAGACATATATGGGCAAGATATCGAAATGGATATCTTTGTAAATGAATTCATCTTGTAAAAAGTAATTCAGAAAATAGTACTGAGAAGCCATCTTGTGGCACACCACCGCGGTTTACTTGTGTTAAAACCACCAATTTAAACATCTGAATCATATTAAACAGTCAGAAGAGAATATTTATTCAGGTCCAAAATCTTTTTAAACAAGCTGTGTTTTTGCTCCCTACTTATAGACAAGCAGCAAGGATGGTCACCATGTGAGTCATTCCAGAGTCACCTGATCTTGCCATCTACTAAATCATAGGCATTGGAAAGACAATCACCAGTAGACCATCACTTTTGTAGCAGAGCATCTGAGTAGCCTTATAAGAAATGAGGTGATCTCTGTGTTTGTATGTCCTTTCAAGTCACCTGTCAACTTATGGAGGCCCTATGAATTTCATTAAGTTTTCTTATACAAAGAATATGCAATGTGGTTTTGTCAGTTTCTTGCTCTGCAATTTAGCTTGCAGCAGCATGCATATGCTGATGAGCTCCCATCCAAGTATTAAGCAGTAGAAGTATGCAATTCAGACAAAAGGCATGCCATTTTCAAGTCCATTCAACAACAACAGCAGCAGCAAAACTTTATTTATATACTGCTCTATCTCCCCAAGGGAGCTGGACCCTCATTCTGTTTACCATAAAGTTACTCAAATGGGAAGGAATGTTATCATTTTCATTCAGCAAAGATTCAGCCCATTGGCTACAATGGGAAACTTTTAAGGCTTAATCCTCAGTCATTTTAAGGCCTATCTGCATGAAAAGTACCTCAGTTTTAGGCCCCATTAGTAATTGAAGGCCTGCCAAGTTTCAAAACAATTCCCCAATCTACTGATTTTTTTAGAATTATTTTAAATTTTAACCATAACATATTTTAAAATAAGACAAACTGCAAGAGTGGGTTCTGGAAATTGTAGTTGCCGGTTGTGTCTATTCTCTGCCAATCAGAGCACGGACACATTTTTATAGGCTAAGAAACAGAGAGAGAAACTTCAACTCCTGTCATGCTCCGAGAGGAACTCAGAGCCTTTTCAATGCCTACTCTATGCAAGTGCTGCTGGGAAAGCAAGTTCCAAGCAGGGCCCTCTCTGGAGAAGGAGCCTAGAAAACTTTCCAAAAAGACATGGATTGACACTGCTTCTGCCAGGGAGGGAGAAAAGACGCAGAAGTTCCCTGCCTCAGGTATATTGCAGACTTAACTCCTTCCTCTCCAGGAACTGATAAAATCCTGCTCCCTTAATCCATTTTGCCGGGCTTTGCAGCTCCCTCATTCCCATTCTGTTTTATATAAAATAGACCATCAAATATTATAAATCATTTTCATTTATTCTTATTTGGGCCCAAGCCTATTAGGCAGACCCTGCTTGTCAGACAAGATCTGATACTTTTAGGCTATTTAGGCCTCTTGGGGGTAAGCCAGACCTTTGGAAAGCAGTTCTTTGGGGCTACAACTCCTTAAATCCTTTAACCCTGGCCTGGGCATGTGGGTACATGTGGGTACATGTGGGTACGAGGAATGATAAAATATACAGAGCCTCACAGAAAAGCAGTTGAGAGAATCTAAAATAAAATGGTTTGCATATTACCACAAAGCATAGCCCAAATCACTCATTTGTACATCTGCTCAAAAGTAAATGTGGGAAGCAGCACAGTACAAAAGTTCTATTTATGCATATTTCTTCAGAGAACATTTTCAAAACAGAAATAAAGGACAGTT